TGGCACATATGTATTCTCCATACTATGCATAGGAATTGTAGTTAAGAATCACATTATAGCTCTGTACTAGAATGCAGCAAGTTTTCAATTTGTAGACTAGAACTCACAACTAGTGTATTATGGATTTTAACAATAGAACTACCGGTACTATCCTGCCACATGTATTGTGCATATTAGACTCACTCCATCAGATCCGTGATCTCGCCATCTTCTAATAGACTTACTAGGAGCGACAGATGAAGTAACTTGAAGAAGACACCCAGTCCAGGCTGTTCTTGAGATAGCCCTGGCTGGCCTAGATTATGTGTAGAAACCAAACCACTTCTGTTCCAAGAAACACTTTCTTACAAAAACTACTTTTGTGTATGTAGATTTTTATCAGATGAAAAACTTGTAGGAAAGAGGAAACCACACATTGGGGTCAATGCTTAGGGCCAAAATAAGCACACCACCACCAGCCACACATTTTGTCAAGACATCCTGCATAAATAACATGCTTAGCTTCTTGAATATTGAAAAGACAGTTGCCTTGATTTACCTATCAACTTATCCCATCCATCCATTTATTTTATATAATTACAATGCTGCCTCAATTACAAGACTCTGGTGGTATGGATGGGTGGATGGATGGATAAAGAGAGGGAGGGAGGGAGGGAGAGAGAGAGAGAGAGAGGGAGAAAGGGAGAGAGAGAGAGAGAGAGAGACTTTAAGGCATCAGGCAAGACACTGTGTCCTGCCTTAGACACAAAGTCAGCTTGGGCCAATTGCTCTCTGTCAGTCCTAGGAAACAGGCAATGGTAAACTAATTCTGAAATCTTGCCAAAAATATGACAGGGACTCATCCAGGCAGTCAAGTCAAGGAGTCAAGACAAGTCATGTATATTAGATGCTAAAATCAGACTTTCTGTTCTATTTTATATGCAAAAAGAAGAAATATACATACAAAACAGGATTGCCACTAGCATATCTGATTTCACACAAAGCACAATTCCTAGCTGGAGCATATGACTATTTTGGTTCTTCAAAAAAGTAAGAAAAAGAATATTAAAATGAAGCAAGCTTTTATTTTCTTACTAGCTGTATCCAGCCACGCGTTGCTGTGGCTCAGTCTGGTAAAAGCATGTGTTGCTTTTACGTCCAACAGATGGCGCTGTTTTGCAAAAAAAGCATGTTTTTACCTGTCACAGGTGTGACATCTATATAATATAGTATATAAAAACACGCGCGTATTCGAATGCAACGTTGTGTCAAAATTTCAAAGCAATCGGTGAAGAACTTTCAGAGATTTAAGATTTTGAACAAACAAACATTTATATTTTTATTTATATAGATATTTAATACATTGATTGTCAATCTTAATATGATGTATGAGTTGCACATGACAATAATTTCACTAGTTTTTGGAGTGAGATTTGTTAAAATCCTAAAAAAGGCATATTTATGTCAATATATGTTGAAGAAAAGGAAAGTAGGACATTCATTGCATTTTCACATAAAAGCTCCCATTTTCTATAATTTTTCATCCCACAATCTGTTAAGTGGTGAATATTTTTCAGCACTTGCAAGCTGTACAGAGAATAATGATTCTCCATGAACCTTATTGAAAAACAGTGTTTTAAGGACTTTCCCAGAAATGGTCAGTAGCTGAATTTGAACACAAGTGCTCAAAAACTGAGCTTGTTTTTGAACACTACAATCATTTACTACAAAGGTTGTGTGATGAGGAAAAAATCTACACAAAAACATAGATTTCCCCCCCAATAATTTTCCTAAACAAAATGATACCAATTCACCACAAATTTACTACATCTGCATGTAGTTGTGGGAGAATCCAGGGACATATTTATTTCTTTGTATCCCATTTTATCCCTCTGCAGACACTCATCACTACCAAAAGGCAAATACCTAGAGATTTTTACACATATCAATCTGAGGCTTAAGCAAAGCCAGACACATTTGAGGATCTTTCCAACTAGATAAATACTGTAACTCCTAGTTACTAGCAATCAAATTATACTGTCCTCTTTTCCATCTTTTCAGTTCCTGCACTAAAAGGGGTCCCCTGGGGTGTTTGATAACACATGGAAATTGCTTATTATTCTAATTTTACTCATGCCTTAAAGACTTTTTTTCACAAAATGTGTAATGGCTTTCTTCCATCAGTCTGCATGCTGGTTTTCCTATATTTTAGAAATATTTCCACTAAAAGTAACATTTGTACTCAATTTTCTAAGGATGCTAAAATCTTGTAGTAGAAAATCTTTGTCACAGAAAAAAGCCCTACGAAGAAAAGGACAACTCAAGGTGCAATCAAGAAGTTTTAATATTTAAAAGATACATATATACACACAAACCATTGTTTGATGATTTCCACAAAGCACCATAAATTCCATAGGCCTTCCTATTTGTTATCCCCAACGTATCTCCCAGCAAACTGAAATTATTTTTCAAATTTTGCATCAAAAGGTTTTCTTTAGCACCAAGAATTATGAAGGTTTTTTTATAGCACCAAAAAGCAGGCCTTCAGCCTCATAACAACTATGCACAAACTTTGTCCTTGTAACATTAGACGCTGCTTCCCAGTGGAAGTACTTGAGAGAGTTTTGCTGAGACAGGAATGGAGGCAAAGGCTCAAAGAGTTCAGTTCTCACATCTGGAAGCAATTCAGTACTAGAAATTCTGGTTGTTCCCTCTGGAGACACAGGGACGCCATGTGTTGCATATACCCAACAGCTGGTTTTTAAACCACTACTTTGCAGAGAGAAGGAATTCAGATTGTTATGCAATCAACTACAGCTTTCCCTGTATTACAAAAACAGGCATCCTGATACTTCTCATAGCTTGCCTTACAAGGTTACCCACTGGGTCAAAATAAAAATGCATGACCTGTCTATTTCCATTTATTTTTAATAGACTGAGAAGCCTCTTGGTTTGAAATTACTTAGTTACCTGTGAGTGGAATAGGCAGCAAATGCATATAGCAGTGTCTGTGTATATTCACCATCTATACACAAAAATTATCGTTAACATACAGTGCATTGTAATAGAATTTTTTTAGCATCTAAGTCATATTTTAGGAAGTGCTCAGTGCTTTACTTAAAGCAGTCTTCCCCAAGCTGGCATCTCCAGATGTGTTGGACTACAGCAGATACGTTGGAGGTTGTAATCCTGCCTTATCTGCAAGGTACCAGGTTGGTAGAAGATGATCTCTAGTATCCTGACCACAACTCTCCAAGGTGGGTCAGCATTATAATTCCCATTTAACAAATAAGCAGTGCTTTGGGAAATAAAAAAGGGGGGATCACATAACTAACGTATGCATAATTGCAGAATAGAAATTGGGATTGAAAAGAAAAGAAATTTGTATTTATATTCTCTTGAACAATTGTGATTTATCCTGCTGTGATGGAGAAAAATTCTGAATGGACACTTCTGGTTGGAAGGTTAAGTTTCAGATCACCCTCTGAATGACTGCATGGATGGCATGCTGAATTCTTCCAAATGTTCCATTCCCCAAACAGCATATTTTGCACTTATTTGATGATGACTCTTGGGATAGCAGGGGAATGGAAAACTAAGGAAGAAGGAGAATAAAATGCTCTTTCCTGGAAGAGGACATGCTGTATCTCGAATGACTATGCATATTTTATTGCAGGTCTCACATGTGAGAATTAGAAAGGAAAAGTTCCCTCTAGAAACTTTATTTCTTTCATGTTTTTCCATCCTCGGAGTAGCCTATTTCTTTTGTAGCTTTAGCAAGAGAATGCCAGCCTAGGCTCTTTTATCTCCATATGTACAAATGGCACTTGCTGCCCTCAGTGAGAGAAGCTGATATGCAAGCACTTATATCTTTCTTTTATTTATAATTCCTTGCAATCCTTTGCCCTTACATTTAATAGTTTACCCAGCTAACCAGTAGAGCTGCACAGCATTTTGGACTTGAAGGGGAGAGATACTTTGGAGCATGGGGAAGATCATATAGCACACATTGGAAATATCTTAAAACAGCTACATCTTTTCCTAGAATTGCACAGTTGCAACATGATCTCTGTAATAGATCTCTTTGTTTTAAGAAGTTACTGCCAGGTGCTACCGGTATGTACACATTCTTCAAAGAATTTACCTCTGAAGCACTGCCCAGCCCCAATCACTAATTCTGTCATGGGACATAGGTCAGCTCACAACAATACTAAAGGAAACCCCATTGATTATTTTGCCCACATCATGGCCTTCGTGTGATCTGCCTATGGGAAAATCTGTAATATCAATCTATGTCAGCTGAAGGAAAATGGATCCTGTTGTAATACATTTATAGATTTGTTGTGATTCAATCAATTATAATACAAATTTAGGGACCAGCATGGAACCTCTTAAAGAATCTTGATTTGGGGGACAAATTGGAAGCATTACAGTATTTCTAACTTTTTTGCTGCCTGAGCTAAATCCTAATCTTGCATATGTTTAACATAGTAATGGAAGAGATCCCTAAGTTATACAATGTATAACAAGTTCATTAGACAGATGCACAAATCACAGTAAAATATGCCAACCCTATATAACATTTATAAATGTAAATTTTGTGAAGGTGACTGCAACTATCAGTCATATAAGGCTGCCCACCAGGAATTTTTAGCAAAACGAAGGGTGCTGTCAAGCACTTGAAGTGCCAAAATAACATTTTCGCTGGCCTACATTTGGTTTGTAGATTTGTAGATAAGATACGGTAACTTATCTCACTTGATATAACTCAAAGAGTTTACCTCATGTGAACAATCTAAATTAGAACATTCTGCTTAGGAAGTGTCATGTCCAAACAAAGATGTTTACAAAATGATTCTGAGTTAGCAGGTACAGAAATTTCATGAGGATTCTTAGAATTTCCAGTCCATACCTTACAATCACACCTACTGTTGAGAAGGACACATAACTTAGCAAGACATTTCTGGAAATTTTTTTGACCTATGAATATTATTATTTTTCAGTTGACATTCTCAAAAGAAAAAAAGTTTTCTTCAGTGCTCTGTTTTCAGATCTTTTGGTCATTTTCTGTATTATTTGCAGTAGTTCACAGGAAATCAAGAGGATGTTTAAAGGATGAATTTGTGCTTTGGAGGGAAACAGCTATTCAAGGCTGGGCTTGATCAAATAACCACTGAAAGTGATGTAGACATCCACATCATCACTGTAGATGGCATTGTCACGCTGTCGCTTATACAGACGCACCCAAACCTCATCATTCTCCCGCAGCTCCAGCATCAGACTCTGGCTTTGCATGATGCTGCGGTCACTGGGCTGAGCATAGAGAATGACTTCCTCTTGGTCATTCCGCATGACGTGCATGTAGGTCTCCTTGAAATTCCAGGTGTGGACATTGAGACTGAAAAAATACAGGCCTGCCACATAGCAGTAGAACTTGCCCTTAAACATGTCGAAGTGGCTATAGAGGTTCACAAAGACAGTGTCAAAGATCAAAGCCTGGTAGCCTTCATTACTGTGGAGAGCTTTCTTCCGGCCCACTGAGAAAGCTGCATACTGGTGCTTGCAAGGATCTCCAGGTGCCCCCATTTGTCCCTTGCTGCCCTTTGGACCCTGGGGTCCCTGATCACCAGGGGGTCCCTCTTTGCCCCATTTCCCAGGAACTCCAGGCTCTCCTTGATCTCCTTTTTCTCCTGTAGAAAGAAGGAGAGAGAGAAAAAGGAGAAGCTGTGGAAGACAACCACTGCTTGTGTGTGGTTTCAGAATCCTGCCTTACAATGTATTTCATACATGTGTAGCATCTCTAGAAACCATAATTAAAGGATACTACAAAAGTCCAGAAAGGGAGGTGGAACATAGGAGGTGATGCAGGATATGATTGAACATGTGGCAACAGATCCTGTCCTGAAGAAATGCTTGAATGACCCAGATGGAGAAGAAGTTCAAGTTTAAGCTGTATCTAAATAAAGCATGCATGCTACACTTTCTGCAGCAGGCCTCTGTTTTATCTGCATTAAATGTGCTTTAATTTTGCCTGAAGAAGTGGGTATGTTTTGGCTCTCACCTGTGCAAACAGTAGAGTTTTTAACCAAATGAGACTTTATAGCAGACTTTTTCAACTTGTCACTCCAGATGTTTTGGACTTATTTCCCAACATGTTTGGCCAGTACAGCCAAGGGTTATAAGACTAAAGATTTAATGTGGTCAATGATTCTTTTCCTAAATAAACATTTCCATGGTGGTTGACAGTTATTGGCTTGGGAAAGATGATGCGCACATATTTAGCACAATAATATACATGATGATTTACTAAGGCAAATAAACAAATCACCTGCTAGAGAGGTTTCCAATTTGCTTTAGATAAAGAGATGAAATGAGGAGGAAACAGTGAGAAGGTAGCATGAGTCAGAGTGTAACAGATGATAATAGCTTACCTTTCAGAATTGTGATGTTGATATATGGACGAACTTCTGGCATTACGAATGGCAAAGCGTGAGGTCTGTCTGCACCAAGACTGGCTTCGGAGGGCCCAGGGACATCTAGAGAATCACAACATCTCTTGCAACCACTCAAGCTGGTAGGGACTTCTTGCTGGCCAAGCTCCTCACTGGGAGCCCCAAGCACAAAGAGCGGGAGCACAAGAAAAGCCAGGGGCAGGCTGATTTGGATGGCTTTCATTGTGAACTGCAAGAAAAACCAGTGAAAAGGATAGGACACCAGAATGGAGCCAATGTTGTACCTCACTTTTTCTATGGGAACTGTTCAGAAATAATAAGGAAGGCAAGCAAGCAGGCAGAATCCCCTTGCCACTGAAGTTTTACAGTGACCAACTTCATCTGCAAAAAGCCTACTTCAAATCCATTAGTTCTGAAATTTATCTTTGTTTAACACATGAGAAAAGTCCTTATCCCACTACAATATGCCAATCAAGGGAAAAATGTTTTGTGCCATACCAAACAACTATTCTGTGACTGACTAATACCGGTATCTCTATAAGTAACATGCCCTGAATGAACTCTTTACATATCATTTCCTTTTGATTGTCTATGGAGATTCTCTGTCATCCCAGTCATGATTGTCTCGAAGGTGTCTTTTTTCAAAAAGCAACTGGACTTTTTTCTTCCTTGAGGGAGACATTTTGCTTCTCATCCAAGAACTTCTTCAGTTTTGACTCTGTTCAGAACTGAAGAAGCTTCTTGGATGAGAAGCAAAATGTTTTCCTCAAGCAAAAAACAAAGTCCAATTGCTTTTTAAAAATGCACCTTTAAGATTTCCCTCTGATCTTCCTTTTTCATTGTTCTCACTTTCAAACCACTAATAATGCTCCCTTGGGATAACACTCAATGTATCTGTGAGTTCAGAATGTTGTACAGGTAATTCTCAACTTACAGCCATTCATTTAATGATAGTTCAAAGTTACATGGGTCTAAGAAAAAGTGACTTATGACCTGTCCTCAAAGTTACGACCATCGCACCATCCCCTTGGTTACATTATAACAACCTGGGTGCTTGGCAGCCAATTCACATTTATAACAATTGCTATATTTTATGGTCACATCATTGTGATTTGTGATCTTCTTTGCTGGCTTCTGGCAAGTGGGAAGCCAGATTTACTTAAAAATCATGTGATTCACTTAACAGCCATGTGATTTGCTTAATGACCACAGTAAAAATGATAGAAGAATTGGATTCAGTCGTGTGATAATTTGCTTAACAACCTCATTTCTTAGATAATTCACTTAACAACCTCATTTCTCTGGTTCCAACTGTGGTTGTAAGTCAAGGACTATCTGTACTTTAATAAATGTACTAATCCTGGAACTTAAAGAGCATGTAAATAAAGAGCATGTAAATTCCTTTTTTATAGATATTTTCTGCCTCCATTCTGTACAAGTTGTTAATTGATGCTGTGATGGAAGGGAAAATGTTTATTTCTCAGTTGTACAATACAGATCACAAAATGATCTATATACAAATTATTTCTTATACTAAGTGCAGCTGGCTGTAAAACTGATCCCTATAGGATAAGTGTTTTTCCTTCCATATAGAGCACGGGTGTCAAACTCGCCACGTCACGTGACGAGTCGCGACTCTTTTTGCATTGCTGGCAATGGGGTGGGCGTGGCTTCAGTTATGATGAAACCGGCCCACGGGCCAGCAGTTTCACACCCCTGATGTAGAGTATATCTGAATGGAAATAGAAATGTAAGATGGAAAAAACTACATGGGTAAAAATATCCCTAACATTTACACCAAAGATCCAGTACTGAAAAACCCTTTTCTATTATTTCTGCAAAACCTCCCGATTTCCTTTGCCATATCTAGCTTGTTAAGGCAGTCTCCAAAAATTGGATGCAATTGAACAGAAGAAAATAATATATAGTTTTGTCCCTACAGCTGACTGTCTTTACAGAAATCAGCTGACTGTTCAGCTACAGAAATCCATAAAATGAGCAGTTATCATTTTTAGCTACAATTTTTTAAAGTAAGCAGTGCCTGAACTGAGCTCAGTTCCTAGTAAAATGCATGGCCATCTCCATATAGTTTTTGTGATAGTATGAAAGCAGATTGCAACAATCCTTCTTTGAGGATTGGATTGGGTTGTTTTTTCCTTTTGGTTTGCCCAGGGTAGCCTACAACCCTAGAGTTAGTCTCTTTTCCAAGTACTGATCAGGCCCTGCCTTACTTACCTTTCTGAGATTAGCCAAGATCACCTTGGTGTTGCTGCCCCCTAGTTCCCATCAATAGTTTTTAATTAAGGCTGTCCTTAAATAATTAACTACGTTCACTGTCCTTTACCCTTATTTTAACCTGTACTTTAATTAAGGCCATGAAAATATCTGGGTTTCAATCTCTTCACTTTGATGACTTAAGGCAGGGGTGTCAAACTGTCGGCCCACGGGCCGGATGTGTCACGTGGAAGCCGCGCCCACCCCATTGCCAGCAATGGCAAAACCGGCTTGATATGTTGCACGATGTCACATGACGTCACGAGTTTGACATGCCTGACTTAAGGCCTGCTACATTTTTTTCAGTGATTTTGTTAAAGTGATTGTCCTTGGAAGGAACTCCTAGATGAAACAGCTGAATAGGAAGTAACTAAATTATTGATCACTGGTGAATGGAAGAAGATGGGAAAACAGTTGCCCCTAATGTCCTTAAATAACAACATTCCCTATCCTTAAATCAATGTCATTCTTTAAATTGACATTATGATAAATGTAAGTTAAAAATGTTAGAATTATTTTGAAACAGAACATTATTTGGAGTAAGTTCTCCTCAGGTTATCTCTGTGGTAAGTTGCTTACCTACTAAAAGATGCATATTATTGTAATTTTGCAAACAGGGCTTATCCATGTAGTTATCTTACTGCAGTAGGATGGGTCACTTACAGTTTGGGGGTGTTTTAAGAGCCGTGGTGGCACAGTGGTAAGAATACAGTATTACAGACTAATTCAGCTCAATGCCAAGAGTTCGATCCTCACCAGCTCAAGGTTGACTCAGCTTTCCATCCTTCTGAGTTCTGTAAAATGAGGACCCAGATTGTTGGGGGCAATATGCAGATTCTGTAAACTGCTTAGAGAGGGCTGTAAAGCACTATGAAGTGGTATATAAGTCTTAGTGCTATGCTATTTCCCCATTCTGGGACCTTCATCTTGCTGCAGCCCACTGCTGATGTTGAGCTGAGGTATTTGGATATCAAAGTATTTTATTTTCAACATAATACCTTCTGCCTCCCCTATGCATTGGAATTTACATAGGAAGATGATTTTGAATGATGCCTAGAAAGTGTGTTGCTGCAACAGTAGAGATAAATCTCCCATGGGCACCCTTTCCTCACTGCTTTGGTGGCTGGGCATCAACTTTGGTCACTATTCACAATTAGGCTGCCTGCTATATTCTGCAGGAACTACTGGCTTACTGACCTTCACAACACATTATTGTTGTTCTTGTTGTTGTTGTTGTATATCTTTATCTATTGGCCATAGTTGCTCTTCCCAATATCATTCCCACAGTTATGACTATATTTTACTGCAGTATTTCTCAACCCCAGCAGCTTAAAGCACCATGCTTTAAGATGCACAAACTTCAATTCCTGGAATTCCCTAGCCAGCATGTTTTAAGATGTGAGGACTCCAATTCCCAGAATTCTCCATGCCGGGGAATTTTGGGAGTTGAAGTTCACACATCTTAATATCACTGAGGCTGAGCAACACTGCTCCTTTGGAACTCTCAACCTTTCTGCTTTCATTCTGGGCCACGATCCAAGCGTTCCCCCCTCCCCCCTCCCGCACATATAGACACACCCTCTGCACTCCCCAAGATGTGACTGAAGAGAATTCCACGTATGACATCTACACGTTTGGATTCAATCCCGAGAGGTCCACAATGGGAATCCAAATAAACGGGAACCAAAACAAAACGCCAGTGGAGAAATTTGCTATTATTTTATATCGCGGCATTGTTATTTGTGCTTGTGTAGGGATGGTGGAAGCAACTGTTATTCTAATCCAGGGGTTCTCAACCTTGGCAACTTTAAGACTTGTGGACTTCAACTCCCAGAATTCCTCAGCCAGCTTTGCTGGCTGAGGAATTCTGGGAGTTGAAGTCCACAAGTCTTAAAGTTGCCAAGGTTGAGAACCCCTGTTCTAATCGTTCCTTTTAAGAAGGCGACCTTCTGAGACGCTAAAGAGTCGCCTTCTGTCCCGGGACGAAGCCATAACCCCGTCTTTCCTCTGGGAAGTCGGCGAGCGCTCCGGAAAGCAGAGCTATGCGGGTTTACAGAAGGGGCGGAGGGGTATTTGGCCGAGCTGCAGCACCGCGACGGGGGAGGGCGGGAGGAACGCCGAAGCCGGGTGCGTTTGATTAGTGGCTCGGCCGGAGTTGGGGAGCATGCAAAATCGGGAGGGGGAAAGGAAGGACAATAAAGCGGAAGGGGAGTGCAATCTGCAGTGAGGTGTGGCGCCCGCGGGCCCCCTAACTCCGTGCAACAACCGGGAGGCTCACCCCAGTGGAGATGCGCGTTGCCGCAGGTCCTTATAGAAAGCCGTTCCTGCTCGTCCGCTCGTCCGCTCAGTCCCTCCTGCGCATCGGGTGACCTCTGCTCGCGAAGCCTGGCTGGGGGTTTCTTTAACAGCTTCTTGTTGGCACACAGGCGCCTCCAACCCCCGAGCCCGCCGAAGAGACTCTATCCCTTCACGCGCTCCCTTCCCTTTTCCCCCCTCTGCGGGCTCCGCAGGGTGTTGGGTTTCGAGCGCCGTTAACTCTTTCCTCGGCGATAGGAGCCGTTTTCTCTCTCCCCCCCCCCACCCGCTTCTTTCCCGGCCTGGCCCATCTGCGCTTGCTCAGCCCCGTCCCCTTACTCTCTTTTGGGACGGCCGGAAGTTTAACAAGAGGCGCTAAGCAGAGCGTTTAGTCCAGGGAATGACTCCTCCGTGGTTAACTGGAAGTTAGTCCCAGGTAGCGGAGAACAGGATTGCAGCTGCGGTTGTGTGCAACCAAAGGAGTAAATGGTTATTAGCCATTAGCAGTTATTAGCAAAGTGGGAGGGGGGAGAGAAAAAAAAATCTAGACTGAGGTGTCTATTGCCACTTGATGTTACAGACTAATCAATAAAGGGGACCATTTGTATGTCAAGGTTGAAATGAGGAGTCCTTGGTGCTCTTTGAGCTTGGTTG